AGCGTTGTTAGCAGTGGTGGGACTCAAAATTTTGTACTACTGGTTCTGTGGGTGTGGCTTGGTGGGCGTGACAGGGGAAGGATACTGCAAAATCCCCATTCCCCTCCCAACTCCACTAACCTGCTTTCCAGCTCTGTTCTCCTGTGCAGGGCAACAAAAGAAGACCCATCCGGTTAGCTTGGACTCAAGAGGCAGAGAATAGATGGGGGCAGGGCCAGTCAGAGGGGGTATTTGCCGGTTCTCCGAACTACTCAAAATTCCCACTACCGGTTCTCCAGAACTGGTCAGAACCTGCTGAATACCACCTCTGCGTCATACAATTTATTTGACCTACATGTTCCTTAGTAACGTCACAAAGAATACTAATGTAAGCATATTAAAAGTTTCTATATGGTCTGATTTTAATCAGCTTCTCACAGAAGCCTATCAAAGTAATACTGCCACTCTTCGTAAACAGCTGCTGGGCATCCTGGTTTCCATGGTCTTGGAGGATGAACAATGAGGAGACTCTGGAAAGTCCTCCAAGTAACAGGAGACTTCATGAAGCTAATCTCGCTCCCCCTTGCACAGCGAGTCCCATTTTTAGTGAAATGGGTCAGTTACAATGTGATTTCTATGGTTTAATGAGGTTAACAGGACAGAGCTATTGAAAAGCATCTGAATATAAGTAGTCCTCAACTTACAACAATTCATTTAGTGACCGTTCAAAGTTACAACAGCAGTGAAAAAAGGGACTCAGAACTATTTTTTCCTACATAGGACCGTTGCAGCCTCCCCATGGTCGTGTGATCAAAATTTAGGTGCTTGGCAACTGATGCGTATTCCAGTGTCCTGGGGTCATCTGACCACCTTTCTGACAAGCAAAGTCAATGAGAAACCCAGGTTCACTTAGCAGCCCTGTCACTAATTTAACAACTGCAGTCATTCGTTTAACAAATGTGGCCAGAAAGGTCATAAAATGGAGCAAAACTCACTTTACAAAGTTTGGGTTCAATTGTGATTGTAAGTTGAGGGTTACCTGTAATCTGGTCAGGAACAAGTCCTGGATCACTCTTTCCTCTCGACTGATGGCAGTCAAGCATACAATCCTGGGTTTTCCTTGTGGTCTCCCATCCAAGTACTAATCAAGCCCAATTCTGCTTAAGTTTTTCCCAGATCGTTTAATGTTGTCTAGGGCATCTACAATGGCAATTTGCTAAGGAGCATCCAAGGCAGGCCAAGGCACATCAAAACAGCCGCATATGGGAGTGTTGGAAGAAATATCCTTCTGGGTTCAGTTCCAAATGGGGAGAAAGACACTGGAAACATGGAGGCTGTTTGGAAAGGTTTATCGATGAATAGGATCGTGTGCCTTGGAGATCTTGGGTGAAGAAAAGGGAAGAGAAGCTGGGAGTCCCTGGGTTTTATACCCTCTCTGCCTTTGAACTTCCTGGGGCTATCCTGATTGGTTGCTATCAGAGTCATAGCTAGCTTTGTAGGTTGTCTATGTGATAAGTTTGGTTGACTCTTGCTGGGTGGTGCAATAAAGGGCAATTAAATGGCTCTGCCTAAAGGAGGTAGATCTTTGTTATGTAGAGTAGACTGACCCAGGCCTTAATGGCCCATTAATGAAGGTCGGAGGGCTGAATTTCTGCCTCCCTTTAAAAGAAAACATTCTGCCCTTTTAATATTTGCTAATATTTGTTTTTTTCTAGGAGAGGGGTGGGTTTTAACTTCTTACAGGTGTAAACATATGTAAGATATGTGCAGTCAGTCATTATTGTGTAGCATATGTATGTGAGTATCTTTCAATTTACCTAGAATAAAAACTGTTTTTTTAGACTGAACTGTCACATGAAACATTATAATCTAAAAATAGTTGCTTGGTTGTTTGCTTCAGTTTTTATTTTTTATTAAAAGGGCATATTTTTAGTTTATAAAACTACAAGATGATGTTCTCTGCCCTTTTTCTTCGCCCAAGATCTCTAAGGCATGAGACCCTTGTTCATCAATAAACTTCCTTTCCAAGCAACTTCCATGATTCCAGTCAGTGGTGGGATTCAAATTTTTTTACTACCAATTCTGTGGGCGTGGCAGGGGAAGGATACTGTAAACTCTCCAGTCTGAGGTGGTATTTGCCGGTTCTCCGAACTACTCAAAATTTCCGCTACTGTTTCTCCAGAACTGGTCAGAACCTGCTGAATACCCACCTCTGATTCCAGTGTCTTTTTCCCCACTTGGAACTGAACCCAGAAGGATATTTCTTTCAACAATGTTTCCCATCTGAATGTATTCTTTCTCAGATTGTAAATGGAATAAAATTACTCAGATACATATAGTGGTAAGTATATTCACCCACTCAGAAGATAAAGATAGTAACAATCAACAGTGTAAATGCAGATTAAAAAATGAGCATGAAACCGGAAGCATTTTAAAAAAGTTTATAATGAAACCAGTAATTTAATGGATTAAGTGAATTAATTTTAAATAGAAGAGGCAGTTATTCAATGGAGTAGGCATACTTATTTTCTCACGTGGGTCTATATGAAGATTAGCTGAAGTAAAAATACTTATACTAGTTCATTTTTTTCTGCTTATTCTTGATTCTTTATTTTTTATTGACCAGGTGTGACAAGGAATTTACATGTATTTTTTCATTTTTGAGAATATACCTAAAAAAGTGATTATTTTGAGATGAAATTAATCATTAGGTAATCTAGTTTATCATACCATTGACTAGCATGGACATTTATTAAGCCAAATAGGGTGGGATTGCCATAGAATAATGATAAATCCCCATTTCAAAACCTGGGGAAATATTATCTTTTAAAATAAGCAAACAACTCAGCCGGTCTGTAAGTTATTTTATATTGTCCAGACATAGCTTGATGTAATGGTTCTTATTTCGCAAAAATCTACCAAAGAACCTGGGTCTCCTCAAATTGCAAATGAAAACTTCACTTTTCACAAGAAGGACATTTATCTGTTTACAAGCCCTCTGCTATGGTATTTATAGTATAGTATAGTTACAGTGAGTTCTCAGTAGATAAAGTAGATAAAGTTTGCAATAATACTGTGAACTATAATTGTTTCTCAGGAAATATGGGTTATGCATGAGAAACCTGTGGTTACATTTTACAAACTCACATCTCCATCAAGCTAAAGGCTTCTTCTGTTAGGTTCTGCGATACCTTTGGGAGAAATTCATTTCCTGATTTATAGTTCAGCAGCTGTCATTTCTTGGCTGCTTAATTTGAAAATAAGTATAAAAACATTTTTGTGTTGATGTGTTACAGTCAATATTTCCAGTACTTCTGTAGACACAAAACATTGATCAAGGTATATTTCTGCAAATCATTTTAACAATTATTATTTAACAGAACAAAAATGATGTTTAAAGTCTTTTGTAGCAAAAACAAGAGTCTTCTTGTACCTTAAAGACTAACACTTTACCTCATATACCCATGAAATAATGTATGTCAGTCTTTAAATGCCTTTGTGGTTTTAATTGTTTTTTTAAGCAAGCAAGCAAACAGACCCAACTCACTGAGCAGCTGGCCAATTTATGGGGTTTGACATTTGCAGTCTGTGAATCTCAGTCCTTGTTGTGGTTTTGTGTCATCATCCAGCATAATGAAGTGTACTTTTACCCAAGTCTATCTTTATCTGAATTGAAGCTATTTTTCTTTTTAACTTCATGCTAAAGTCATTTAGATACAGGACTACGGGATAATATTCATGGCCTTGCCCTGGAGTTTCTGAATTGAATTCCATTCATGGGTTTCTCCTGTAGGAGGAGAGGAAGGCAAATGGTCACCCCTTTTTTGTCTCATTCAGAAGCTTTTTGAAAAGTTGCTCCCGAGGGCTTTATTTCCAGTTCCTTTCCTAACATTGGATAATATGAATTTTATCTTTCTTCCAGATGTTCCTCAACAGGTTGCTCTTTGCCACATTTTGACTAGTTCACACATATTGTGGTCACTATCCATTCAGGCCTATTGAGATCGAATACATAAACTTTTACAGCAAAGACTTGTTCTTTTATGCACTTGATAATATAATATGTAACAGACATCATCCAGAAAAAGATCATGGTAAACTGCTACCATACTGTTGTCAACAAGACAACATGGGCATATCAATGAAGTTATGAGGAGCTAAACTCAATTCACACAAGTGGAATCTTTGTCTATTCTGAAGATGCCTGCCATGTTTTCATTCATTGCTTTCTGCTTTCTCCTTATAGTCCTTTAATATGGCTTTTCGTTCTCATATCATCTAATGTCCCAACTTTGCCCAGCTGGTTATTGTTTGAGTTGCAGTTTAATGCATATTGAGTTTAGGAATCCATTTCATTTTGTTGTAGCCACTGCCTTCTGTTTTTTCACATCTCATTTACAGTTCCATGGAACTGTACAGACATAAACAAAGGCAATGACTAGGATGTAAAATCAGCAGAACTGTATTTGGAAGACCCAGACTGAATTATGATCTCATGGACGTATGGAATGAGTCACTATTGTGTCTTCAGTTCCCCTTCCCTAAAATGGGAATAGTGACTTCCTTATGGATTAACAATATACTCCCCCCTAACCCCCCTTTGCAGTCATCATCTCATTTGGGTTGCAGACTCATGTACTTTTAATGCCTGATGTAGGGAGCGGGCAAGAGCTACCAGCTGAACTTCTCGGACAGATCAACTCTCTTGCCAGATAAGTGGTAGAGAGCGGATGGTATCCAAGTATGGATTTCCTCCGACTGGCCTCCCTCCAGTCTTCCCGTCCTAGTTTCCCAAGTCCCAGTTCAGCTTCAGCCCCTCTGAGAGCTTCAGGTGACTGCAAGTCCTGCTTTCACAGTCTCCCTCTTAATTCCTCGCTTTGCCTTGCGGGCAAAGTTGCTCGGTTGGGTCGGGAAGTCAGCCGCGCCCCGTCCAGCCCCGTGCCGCCCAAATAGGGCCTGTCTCTGCTCCCCCCACCCCCACCCCCACCTCGCCCCGTCCAGCCTCCTCGCTCACGCTCTTATTTAACGGCGGCTCTTTCCTTTCTCCGTGCCTGCCGTTTCCCCGTCCGGCTCTGCCCCGTTTGCTCGCCTGGGACTGTCGAGTCAGTCGCCGATCTCTCAGCTTCGGGGACTCCTTCGCGATGCGCAGCGGGCCGCTTTTCTTCTTGGCGCTGTCTCTGTGGCTCACCAATGCCTGGTCGGCCAGCCGAGTCCCTTACCAACAGATCTTGCAGCACAGCCGGATCCGGGGCAGGCATCAAGGGTAAGGCGACCGAGGAGGGAGACAGCGAAGGGACCGGGAGTGCTCTGGACGTGGGGGGGAGCCATTCAGCCCACCTCATGCCTCTTACTTTCTTGTGGGGCTGGGTGGGGTGGGGACTTGGAAAGAGACTCAATACAGCTCTCTTGGAATGGGTGGCACAGACGGGGCGGTCACAAGCCCGAATGCGTTTCTGTGGGAGCAAGAGACAGAGGGCGGCGGGGGGTGGGGTGTTTTTCTGGGTTTCGTTGCCATTAATTTCCTAGAGGAAAGAGGAAGCTTTCTTGGGAACCGGGCTGCCCCGATCGCCTTATTCCACTTCAAGTAGCCAAATCCTTCAGCAGTTCAAAAATGCTCCCCGCAGACTGACTGACTGACTGACTTTCTTTCTTTCTTTCTTCCTTCCTTCCTTCCTTCCTTCTTTCTTTCTTTCTTTTTTTTGCCAATGAGGGAAAAGCTAGCAAATGGTCGATAGGGCTGATTGTTTGGATCCTGGTACAGAGAAGTCAAAGGTCACTGGGGAAACAAAGACTTTTTCTTTGCCAAAGACTGTCCCTCCCCAACAGACATGCCCCAAAATCAACTCAAATGATATCCTTTATTATTGAACCAATCGGGTAAGATGCATAAGAACGAGCAAATTTAGAGTCAAAGAGCTGATCCCGCCCAGATGAAAGTCCAGCGTGGCTTGAAAGTTTGCTGATTTTTAAGACTTAGTGCTTAACAGTAAGAAAGTAAATGCTGTCCCATGGACACATGTCTCTCTGTCTGAGCCTCTGATCGTTTTTTCTTTTTTTAAAGGTATTTTTGTGTTCTAAGTAACACAACCAGTCAGGCGTGTAAATAAGATTTGTCCTGCACCAAAGGTTGCTTAGCACAGTGATTCCAGGGCTTTTTCCTATTCCTGTCACTTTTAAAAACTTTTCTCAGAATACAGCACTGGTTTTGTTCTCCCTAGATGTGATGAATGGATCTTTGTTCAGATCTATGCTCTGTGATATCACAAATGCCTGTGTTGGGGTCAGGCATCCTAGTCAACTTGAAGTCCTTCAGTAGATATTTTTGAAGATTGTGGGTTAGCAGCAAAGGCTCGTGAAACTTGTAATTTCGAAAAAGGGTAGCAGGTTGTCTATCTTTGATATATACGAAAACACAGTTCTTAGTGTAAAATATGTCAAATGGTTTGGTCCTGAAGACAGGATCTCTTCACTCATCTCCTGATGCGTGCACAGGGCTAAGTAAGAATAAAGATGCTGTTTTCTACACTCCTTTTTCTTTCTTTCCCAATGCAAACATTCAAAATAATTAGTAAGAGAAATCATTGCCCGATCCCTAACATGGGATTCCCCCCAGGGTTATGATCTAGTGTCAAAACTGGCTTGAATTTCAACATTTTGCCCAAGGCTCTTTTCTTTTTGTTTCATGGTTCAATAATAGGTGTAGGGATGAGAAAAGATTCACCAGCTGGTCCCGCCAGAAAAAAAAAAATGGTAGCAGGATGTCAACATCCTGATTATTCATTTGCAATGATGGAAAGCACGTCTATTTTATTTAAGTCTTTCTGCTATAACTTCACGCAACCCTCTACAAATCGATCCCGCTAAGAACAGTGATGGTGTATGTGTAACATGTGTGCATTTGCAGTCTTTTTTTCCCCCCAATTCCTAACTTGCTTTTGGAAGCAAGTTAGGAATTCTCATCTCTCTACCATAAATAGAGAACCTCCTGATCTCCTTGAGAACTATTTGATTGCAATTCATATAACCTGGATGCATTGATTGCAGATGTTGGTAACTATAAACCTATCATGCTTGCGAAGCTCCTATCTGGAAGAGGGAGAATTATGTCCCTTCCGTGTTCAATGATGCCATGGGATATGGACAGATCTTGGGAAATGGAGCCAGATAACTACTATCTTGGCTTCTGCTCCAGAGACAAGGCTGCCAATATTTGTAGTGTAGCATCTGGAACTGAGAGATGGGTATTTCCTATTGGTGTTACATTAGCATATTTGCCATTTCTTCCCAAAAGCTACAGTTTCTTTTTTTCCCCCTTCTTCTAATATTCTACCCCCGTTGTTCCTTCCTCCCCTGTCAGGCTAATGGTGTACTTTGCTTTGCTGTGCTTTGGCAATATCTCTGTCCTCCCCCCTCTCCCCGCTCCCCAGTTGGGATTCCTTCCCATTTTATTTATCATTGCAAAAATTACACACTGGAAAAAAATTGGATAAAGGTGCAATTTTCTCCCATAGACTTGCCATTGGAAGCACTTGCGCAATGAATAGGAGGAGATTAGATGGATAGTGGCACAAAGTGTTAGGACATCTGCACAAAGGTGTGAAAGGATTTCCTGGAGGTGACTCATGGCTGGATTGAAGCCTCCTGTGGTTGGAGCTCTTCTTCCAACAGTATAGGGTGGAAAGTCTTTGTTTACATTTTCCCTGATGGATTACCGAATTTAATGCCAATTTCAAAGGTGAGTTGGCTCAATGTTTTTCCATTATCCACAGGGTATATTAATTCCTCCTGCAGTAACTGACTCTTTTTTTAAATTCCACAAATCCTGTGAGAGGGTCAATGTTTAAAACAAAGCCTTGAGAAAGCTTTAAGAGAATCTGTGTTGCTGAGAGAGGTCCTTATTCAATAGAAAGTGTCTTTTGCCCCATAAGAAAAAGAAATCAGGTTTTCCTCCCATCTTCTTTTTAAACTACCACATCTGTTCTGAAAGGCAGAAACAAGAAGTAGTAGTCTCAGAAGAACCAAGTCTTGGCCTTGGCCTTTTGGAGAGGGCACAGGAATCCTTAAATCAAAAACCAAATATTTTTGTGGTTCAAATGTGCTCGATTGCCTCCCTTATTTTTCTTTGAGCAATGGGAAAAATATCAGAGATAAGGTGACAGTGATTTCACCTTGCTATTGGGTAAAGGAAAGGCAAACTCTTTCCTTTACCCAATAATATTCCTGCCCAACAGGCATGCACAACATGTATGTATGTATGTATATCCTGCCACAATGCCAAAGAACACTTCATGATTCACAGATATACAATATAATTAAACTAGGCATGGTCAGATTAAATTTATGTGTGCACATGTAAAACATGAATATTTTAACAAGCAGCAACCTATAAACCTCAACCAAGATGAAATTACAACCCAAATTTCTTCCAGAAGAGCTCCATTCGAATCTACTTTTAGAAGGTAGTTAAATTGAGATAATAATATGATTTCCACTGGGGGGGCATTCAAAGGACTTTGAACTCTTCACCTCTCCTGAAACTTGGACCCCCTCATTTTACCAAAAAAATGTGAAACTCCCTGATCAAGCACTCAGGCAGAGCTTTTGATGCTGGTACTTCCTTAATGGGAAATTAAACACCCTAAACATAGCAATTAGGCACAAACTGCTGAAACAATAAGAAAGAAGTTAAAAGTTATCTTTCCTCAACCTTATGTTTTGATGGAAGGCATCTTGGGAAAAATGATTATCCAAGGCTAATGAGTTTGGCTGCTTATTATTTAATTGGGGATTCCCACATCCAAATCCAACTCTAAGGAGTATCCATACCATCGTTTGATCTTCACTGGGAGATCACACAATACTTCCAGCAGCATTTGATTTACATTCCCATTTCACAGTCAACTAGATTTTTAGATTGGAATTGACATTTTTGTCCCACTATCAAGGACCTAGGATTGTTGTTTAATCATTTCAGGATGTAAACTGTTCCAAGTAAAGCTGCCTTTTGCAATTGACTGGTGCTGATTTTGTCAATGCTGATAGTGTTCAGATGGAATGACACTCAACGCACCTATTAATATTGATAATATTTTTGCTTTCTTTTGCCAGGAACATTCTACTTCTATTTGCAAATCTTTATATTTTGTGATTTCCTTATTCTTATTATTAAATATTGAGGTAGTTGAATTTCTCATGAGTTCATTTTCACTGTTTAATGGTAGAACTAGACAAAAAGGTAATGTTAGAACTGGAAGAAAATTGATAGGTTCCTATTCCTGTTCTTATCTTTTCTATAGTTTTCTCCATGCATACCTGTCCTATTATTATGTGTAACCTGAAACAGACTGTGAGAAATATATTATTGCTTTTCTTTGAAAAGTAGAGGTTGTTGACCACAACTCATTACCATCTCAACATTTCCTCTATTTATTCTTCTATACTACTTAATATATTATTTTCTCTTGGTGCTACCACAATGGGAGCTAGCTATATGAAGCTTATAACACCATATAGAAATCAGATATGAATTCAGCTTTATATACTTTTACACAAAACATTTCAAGGAAGATTGGCAGAGTAGCACATCAGTATGCATTGTGCTGTTACAGCATGATTATATGTGTGCAAAAGTATGGATGAAGACTTTGATAGTGTATTAGGTTGGCCAGGAGAATCCTGTCTGTCTGGTAGGGTCAAAGAAGAAAGCATTTTCTATTGTAACATCCGCCCTTTGCGATACCATTTTCTTAAAGATCAGATTGGATCCAAACCTAAAGCCTTTTGCAAGGCTTTAGAGACCTGACATTGCCATCCAGAATTCAGGACCTCATGTGCAATAAAGTCTGTATAGTTGTGTTGTGTATTGATAGTTTTGAATACCTCGGGTACAAATTATCTTATACAATTTGTTACATGGTTTTATATATTTTTATTGCTTTTAATTGCTGTAACTTGTCCAGAGTCATGAATATGAGATAAGAGGCTACATACCATAAATCAAATAATCAGCCTTATCATCAAACCTTGAAACCTTACCATCAAGACATGACTTGAAATAGTTTTCTCAACCATGCACACATGAGACATCTTGAAACATGGTTGTAAGAGTTTTAAGGCAGTATACCCAATGATATTTGGTGGTACACTAACTAGCTGCCTTGATAGAAAATATGCTGTTCTTACTTAAGCATTTAAAATTATTGTTATTATTGTCAGAGGAGAAAAGGTATCTTTTTATTATTAATTCAGAGGAAGACAAGCCCCGATCTTGCTTTAATGTCAAACCCCAGTTGAGTTTACAATATATTCTATCTCCTGGAAGTTCAATAACAACAACAACAACAATACATTTCTTAATCTTTGCAGTGTTTATTTCTTTATTTCAAGACCTGTTTGAATGCCAAGCTGTGAATGGAGAAATGCAAAATAATATTTCTCCTTCTATTTGTAGCCCCAATGTATGTGCTGTGCTGAAACTCATTGGAACCAACAAGAAATACTTGCCAAGTTGCAAACTGTGGTACCAGAAGAAAATATGTGGAAAATCAACGTAAGTAAAGTTTAAGAAAAGGAGAAAGTTTTTCTTTGTGTGCTCAACAGGCGTGCAAATGAATAACGAAGTAAGGTTTTCTTCCTGACTTCTTCAGCCCCATGAGGGATATCTGCAAATCAATCTGATGTCTGACCTGGCAAATCCAACAAGCATAGCCTGAAGCTTCCTGAAAAAAAAAAAAACGGCCTTGATGCATACTCTTGGAAGGAAGAAGCAATCTGCACTCAGTTAGGAATTTATACAGGCTGGCTGCCTGCCAGTCTTCTGCTAAAGTCTTCTAGTCTTCTGAGAAAGGTGTATCCTCCCCAAGGTCCGATAAATTTGAAATTTGAGGGATGAGATAAATATAAGTATCATGAAAGATCCAGAGAGCCAACTTGGCCAGAGTAATTTATAGGTTGATCATCTGTGGTGATAAATATGTTTCTATGTAACCTGAAATCAACAGAAGTTAGAAAAGGGAAAATATGTCTTAAGGGAACCAGTGTCTTAGAGCAAAAGCGTGTAAGTGTTTTTACATCAATGGTTGCAAGTAAGTAGGGCTGGCAAAGCAATGGGTCCAAGATAAAAATTTTCTTAATTTAATTTACATGAAAAAAATACGTATGGAAAATTAATTACAGTTGAATAAAGTCAGTTTAGTGATACCAATTCTGCACTGATTTAATCATCTCTATTAATCACATTAACATTTACAGTTTGCTAGGAGAGTTTGGAGAGTTGTATAGACCAAGTCCCCAAGTTGACTGGGGACTTCTGGGAGTTGAAATCCTCCAGGCTTAAAGTTGCCAAAGTTAGAGACCCCCTGGTATAGACTATATTTACAACTCTGGAAGGTTTGAAGCTTTCGATTATGCCCTTCTGCATTTGCGCTTCTGCTGTTGACCATAGGAGATGCACTTTTATAATGAAGTCTCACACCAGGGTATTATGGGAGTTTTGAATCCCAAAATATAGTACTTTTCTCTGGAAAGAAATAGCAACCTTATTCCTTTTTTCCCCCTAGATCAGAAGAGCTGTAAAAAGAGGTTGATTGGGAACATACAGTATCAAAGAATGTTAAAAAAAATTGACAATCTTATGATTTCCAATGTTCAGTATAGAGAGTAAGGGACATAATCTGAATGTACAATGGATAGATGAGATCCATTACTAAAGCAATAAGTGGGGGGGGGGGCGAATCTTGGATTCAAAACAAGCAGGAAGTACACAGAAATATCTCAGATGGACATCTTCCTAATTCAGTGGTCGCCAACCAATGGGTCAGGGACCACTGGTGGTCCACAAGAAAATTTTGGTGGTTCACAGAGAAATATCACCCCCAAAGCACCCTCCAAAGCAATTAATCCAGGCTGTGTGGAAACATAAGGTTGCAACACCCACATGGCCTGTGGGAACACAAGGCTTGTGTCCCTTGCGTTGCGAACAACACAAGGTAGTGAGGGGAGGGGGAAAGGGTACAGGGAACCTGCCCCTCTCACCCCATGCACCTGACCTGCCACCGGGCTGCTTCTTTCTGCTTCTTTCTTCTTCTGCTTTTCACTGCATGCAAGGAAAGCAGCAAAGGTCTCTCTTTCTCTCCCCCAAACTCCACCAGAAATGAGTCTTTGGGACCCTGAAAGGCCTCCTGCTCCAAGAGGCTGTGCTTGCATGACAAGTCTCACAAAGACTCGTTTCTGGAGGAATTTGGGGGAGAGAAAGAAAGACTTCTGCTGCTTCTGCTGCTTTCCTTGCATGAAGCCAAAAGTCTCTCTCTCTGCCCCTGAGAATGGAGCTGGAGATGGTATCCTGCGATCCCAAATAAAGAATGATCGATCAGTAGGAAAACGAGGTGCGGAATTTTCCTACAGACTTTTTTTGGGGGGATTTTCCCAGGATGTCTGGTCCACGGGATTTAAACTTATGAGTTTGGTGGTCCCTGAAGTCCAAAAGGTTGGCGACCCCTGCCCTAATTCACATGGGTATTAGATGAGGAGGAGGTAGAAGCACAGCCGGATTTGCCAGATTCTATTATAGCTACTCTCAATAAAAGCAGTCTTAGCCTTCCTAGCCATGGTCTGGTCTTCATGGCGAGGCTGCCACTCAGAAATGGTTTGCCAAAAAATGTAAAATGAGGATTGACAAAATGTCCAGATATATCTTGGAAAAGACTGTTGTTGGATGGGTTCATAATTGATTAAACAATGAAGTGCTTTTTTATGGCTTTGTGCCAACCTGCAAGGAGATTTGGAAAAGATATCCCACGGACTTAAGTTTGGTCCTGACTTTCCATTGTTTGAGCACAGAATTTTAAAGCAAGAGAGGTGATTGGCTTATCAAATTGGTAGCTGGCAGAAATTTGGCAAGGGTTATCTGTACTAGGGAATACGTAATCAAAATTCAAATGGTCTTGATGGGTCTAAACGAACAAGATGAAATTCAACAGAAATACATTTTAAGTCCAACAATCAGCAACAAAAGAATAAAAAGCAGGTGGGATGGGTGAGAGCAAACTTGGCAAAAGTATATGTGAAAAGGATTTTGAGTGTCTTGTTATAGTTTGAACAGGAGCCAGAATGATTGAAAAAAAAAAGCAAATGCAGTCATAGACTATAGGAACAGGTGAGATCATGAGAAGTAGATTCTCAGCTTTTATGTTACATTTGTCAAACTTTACCTTGAGTACTTGACTGATCATAGATGTTACATTTGAAAAAGTACAGGGAAAATCTGGTAAATGTCCAAGGAAATTGCTGAAAGGAGTGACTGAAGGAATCTGGGTATCTTTAGCTTGAAGAAAAGATTAATAAGGGGTGGCTTGCATATTTTATGCAAAATATAGACCTTGTTGCTCTGGATGGCAGAGATTTAGATAATTCTAGGGTTAATCTCTTTGCATTCATTCCCCATTCTTCCCCTCCCATTTTCTTGCTTCAAGTTTTTTTTCCCTAGGAAATACCAGCAATGAAATGACTGTCTGTATGTGCATGTGTGCATGTGTATGTGTGTGTGCGTGTGCATGTGTGTGTGTGTGTGTGTGTCTTAAAAGATTTCCCAAACAACTGAGACATTCACAGAATGTTTCATTCTAAGAAAAAAACCTTTTTTGTTACATCTATTTTATAAAAAGTAGATTTTTCAGGAATGTTGTATTTAAATCCCGTCTTGAAAAAATAGAGTTGGTAATTGATAACATTATTGGAACATGATCAAATTCAGCAGCAGCAGCTCTTTTTCAATTATTAACCGATTCAATTTGATCCACACCAATGTAAAGAGATATTCAAAAATCTATGTAACATATCCGGAAAATCCTTACTTGGGCCATAACAGTTAATAATAACAGTATATTTGTTAAAGCACAATCAGCACTATATTAAAAACATTTCTGGACCGCTTATCTTTTCCACCACTAATTTTAAGCAGTTGTTAATCAAAATTTCTACCCTCTAGCAAAATTTTAGTTTCCAATTATATATACTGATCCCCTAGACAAGAAATATTTATTTACAGAACAAAAATGTGAGTTTTTTTAAAAAAATAACTGAAGTTTTAAGTTTTATTAAGTATTAAGAATTGGTATACAAGTGATATATAGCAATAGCATTTAGACTTTGCATATGCTGCTTTTTACAGTGTTTTTTAGCCTCTCTAAGCAGTTTACAGAGTCAGCCTATTGCCCCCAACAATCTGGGCCCTCATTTTATCAACCTCAGAAGGATGGAAGGCTGAGTCAACCTGGAACTGGTCAGGATTAAACTCCTGACAAAGTGAGCAGAATTAGCCTGCAACACTGCATTCTAACCATTTTGCCACCACGGCTGATTATATATGGTTCATGAATGGATAAAAACTTTTTAACGAAAGATGAAGATGACTGTAAACCAGTGTTTTTCAAACTTGGCAGCCTGAAGATGTGTGGACTTCAACTCTCAGAATTCCCCAGCCAGCATGCTGGTTGAGGAATCCAGGGAACTGAAATCCACCCATCTTCAAACTACGAAGGTTGAGAAACACTGCTGTGAACGATTAGAAGACATCAGTGGTAGCAATATACTAAGTTTAGACCTATAGACGGAGACAGCTAAAAGCTTTGGGCACTGAATTGGGAGATACTTATATAAAACCAATTATTCAGAAGAATGATAGGTTCATCTTTTCTTTTAAAATGGACATGGACTACTATCTATTAGGGAGGCTTTCTTTTTATAGTCTTCCAGAGAAGCTATGATTCTTTGTGTAATTGCACCGATCCTGAGATTTTTCTGTCCTATGCATCAAGATCAAGTAAATCTTGCAACTTTCATGGACAATGTACAATAAAGATAATAAAGTCCTGAGAAACTGGTAAAAATACTCATGCCAAGTTATCAAAAGACAAAATATTTGTAAGATCCACACCTTTCAATCCAATCCAAAGCAAGTCCAAACATGAATAGCTTATGACACTTGTAACAGGCTAGCAGACTCAAATTAAAGCAAGTTTTTCAAGACAGCTTTTCATACTCTACTTTCATGATATCTATAATTAAAATGTGTGTTGAAAACAGCTTTTCATACTCTACATTCATGATATCTATAATTAAAATGTGTGTTGAAAAGAATACATACATGATAAGATATGTAAATAGTGTATAGGAGGGATTGGATCATTGTTCTGTTTTAAACATGGATGTAGGTTTTTCTTACTTCCTTAGGCTCATCTTTACTAGAAAACCCCATTTGTCTGAGGAGCACAAACCACTCTCTGCTTTGAACATGAAAAAGACATTGTTTAAAAGTCTCTGAAGGTCCTTGATATCTCCCAAAAGGGGGATATAACTCACCATCTGGAAGGAACAGGTAGAAATAAAGTCAAGAGAAAAAGCAAAGGAAATTTGTCTAACTCATTCCTATATTATGTGATGAACCATTTTTCACACTACTGTGACAACTATAATTCCTTTTTTAAATTGGTCCCAAATTTATGAATATTTTTTGGAAATGATTTGCCATTGCCTCTTTCCTGGGGCTGAGGA